GCAGGGTCCGGGGAGACCGGATATAGTGAATGCAGGGGACTGGGGAGACCAGATATAGTGAATGCAGGGGACGGGGAGACTGGATATAGTGAATGCAGGGGACGGGGAGACCAGATATAGTGAATGCAGGGTCCGGGGAGACCAGATATAGTGAATGCAGGGGACGGGGAGACCAGATATAGTGAATGCAGGGCCCGGGGAGAGACCAGATATAGTGAATGCAGGGCCCTGGGAGAGTGGATATAGTGAATGCAGGGCCGGGGAGACCGGATATAGTGAATGAAGGGGACGGGGAGACCAGATATAGTGAATGCAGGGTCCGGGGAGACCAGATATAGTGAATGCAGGGTCCGGGGTTTAGTAAACACTTTAAGTGACTTTGCATGTGACATGGTTGTTGGTGCGAGATGGGCTGGTCTCAGTATGGTCTCAACCAATCTCTAGGTTTTACAAAAAATGGTCTGAAAAAGAGAAAATATATCCAGTGAGGGGCAGTTGGTTAGATGAAAATGCCTTGTTGATGTCAGAGGTCAGAGGAGAATGGGCAGACTGGTTGAGATGATAGAAAAGGCAACAGTAACTCATGTCAATATGGACCAAAATCTCTGAGGAATGTTTCTAACTCCTTGTTGATTTTATGCCATGAAGAATGAAAGGCAGTTCTGAAGCCTCTGGGGGTCCAACCCGGTACTAAGCAAGGTGTACCTAATAAAGTGGCCGGTGTGAGTGTATATATATTCTTAGCAGCTCTGTGTTGTGGTGCTTGTGGTAACAAACATGAGCCATGAAGTCAGAGAACATGAAAAAATTGCACAAGGGTACAGAATCACCCAACCTCCAAAGAGTAAGGGCCTCAATCCCAGAACCCCCTAGGGCACCAGGTACTCTAGTCCACCATCAGATGGATTCTGAACCTTAGAGAGACTGCCAAAGTCACCGCTCCAAGTACTTGCTGAGGGCTCTTTGGAAAAGGACCTGAAAAACCCTGAATTTTGTATTGAGAAGAAGGAGATTGAAGGGGGATATGATCAAACATGTATTACATAAGGGGGATATGATCTCCATGTATAATACATAAGGGGGATATGATCACCATGTTTAATACATAAGGGGGGATATGATCTCCATGTATAATACATAAGGGGGGATATGATCTCCATGTATAATACATAAGGGGGGATATGATCTCCATGTATAATACATAAGGGGGGATATGATCTCCATGTATAATTACATAAGGGGGGATATGTTCTCCATGTATAATACATAAGGGGGGATATGATCACCATGTATAATACATAAGGGGGGATATATGTCACCATGTATAATACATAAAGGGGGGATATAACGTGGGGATCTCCATGTATAATACATAAGGGGGGATATGATCAATGTATAATACATAAGGGGGGATATGATCTCCATGTATAATACATAAGGGGGGGATATGATCTCCATGTATAATACATAAGGGGGGATATGATCTCCATGTATAATACATAAGGGGGGGATATGATCTCCATGTATAATACATAAGGGGGGGATATGATCTCCATGTATAATACATAAGGGGGATATGTTCTCCATGTATAATACATAAGGGGGATATGATCTCCATGTATAATACATAAGGGGGGATATGATCTCCATGTATAATACATAAGGGGGAATATGATCTCCATGTATAATACATAAGGGGGATATGATCTCCATGTATAATACATAAGGGGGGATATGATCTCCATGTATAATACATAAGGGGGGATATGATCTCCATGTATAATACATAAGGGGGATATGATATGATCTCCATGTATAATACATAAGGGGGGATATGATCTCCATGTATAATACATAAGGGGGATATGATCTCCATGTATAATACATAAGGGGGGATATGATCACCATGTATAATACATAAGGGGGGTATGATCTCCATGTATAATACATAAGGGGGGATATGATCTCCATATATAATACATAAGGGGGGATATGATCTCCATGTATAATACATAAGGGGGATATGATCTCCATGTATAATACATAAGGGGGGATATGATCTCCATGTATAATACATAAGGGGGGATATGATCTCCATGTATAATACATAAGGGGGGATATGATCTCCATGTATAATACATAAGGGGGGATATGATCACCATGTATAATACATAAGGGGGGGATATGATCAACATGTATAATACATAAGGGGGGTATGATCTCCATGTATAATACATAAGGGGGGATATGATCTCCATGTATAATACATAAGGGGGATATGATCTCCATGTATAATACATAAGGGGGGATATGATCTCCATGTATAATACATAAGGGGGATATGATCACCATGTATAATACATAAGGGGGGTATGATCTCCATGTATAATACATAAGGGGGATATGATCTCCATGTATGTATAATACATAAGGGGGGGATATGATCTCCATGTATAATACATAAGGGGGGATATGATCTCCATGTATAATACATAAGGGGGGATATTGATCAACATGTATAATACATAAGGGGGGATATGATCTCCATGTATAATACATAAGGGGGGATATGATCTCCATGTATAATACATAAGGGGGGATATGATCTCCATGTATAATACATAAGGGGGGATATGATCTCCATGTATAATACACATAAGGGGGATATGATCTCCATGTATAATACATAAGGGGGGATATGATCTCCATGTATAATACATAAGGGGGGGGATATGATCTCCATGTATAATACATAAGGGGGGGGGATATGATCTCCATGTATAATACATAAGGGGGGATATGATCTCCATGTATAATACATAAGGGGGGGATATAATCTCCATGTATAATACATAAGGGGGGATATGATCTCAACATGTATAATACATAAGGGGGGATATGATCTCCATGTAATAATACATAAGGGGGGATATGATCTCCATGTATAATACATAAGGGGGGTATATGATCTCCATGTATAATGCATTAAGGGGGATAATCTCCATGGGGGGATATGATCACCATGTATAATACATAAGGGGGGATATGATCACCATGTATAATACATAAGGGGGGATATGATCTCCATGTATAATAATAAGGGGGGATATGATCTCCATGTATATACATAAGGGGGGATATGATCACCATGTATAATACATAAGAGGGGATATGATCTCCATCTATAATACATAAGGGGGGGGATATGATCTCCATGTATAATACATAAGGGGGGATATGATCTCCATGTATAATACATAAGGGGGGATATGATCTCCATGTATAATACATAAGGGGGATATGATCACCATGTATAATACATAAGGGGGGGTATGATCTCCATGTATAATACATAAGGGGGGATATGATCTCCATGTATAAATACATAAGGGGGGATATGATCTCCATGTATAATACATAAGGGGGGATATGATCTCCATGTATAATACATAAGGGGGATATGATCTCATGTATAATACATAAGGGGGGGATATGATCTCCATGTATAATACATAAGGGGGATATGATCTCCATGTATAATACATAAGGGGGGATATGATCTCCATGTATAATACGTAAGGGGGGATATGATCTCCATGTATAATACATAAAGGGGGAATATGATCTCCATGTATAATACAAAAGGGGGGATATGAAATCCATGTATAATACATAAGGGGGATATGATCAACATGTATAATACATCAGTGGTCCATATAGTGAACTCGGTATAAAGTTTTTCACCATGAGGTCATCACAGAGGACAAGGGGGCGCTCTTTACATCTGGAGGAAAAGAGATTTAATCTCCAAATACGGAAAGGCTTTTTCACAGTAAGAGCTGTGAAAATGTGGAGTAGACTCCCTCAAGAGTTGGTTCTGGCCAGCTCAGTAGTTTGTTATAACAAAGGCCTGGATTCTTTCCTAAATGCACATAACATAACTGGATGCTAATATTAATGGCTACATTTGATCCAGAGCCTCTTGGGGGGATCAGGAAGGATTTTTTTTCCCCTCCTGGAGCAAATTGGACCATGCTTTATAGGGGCTTTTTGCCTTCCTCTGGATCAACTGTGGGTATAGGATTTTGTATGTAGGACTGTTAGCTCCTCTTAGATTGTAAGCTTCAAGGAGCAGGGCCCTCCTAACCCTCTTGTATTGAACTGTATTGTTGCTGTATTGTCTCCCTTTATATTGTAAAGCGCTGAGCAAACTGTTGGCGCAATATAAATCCTGTATAATAATAATTATATATATATATATATATAAAAAATTTCTTCCCCTTTTAATAGGTGAACTAGATGGACTTCTGTCTTTTTTTCAACCAGAATATGTAACTATGTAAAAAACCTGCACCTTTACAGTCTGCAATGTCCCAATTAAAATTCAAGCTATAGGTTTCCTGATTCAGAGCACAGATTATAAATCGGTGTGCGTGGCGGTAGGCCTTGCCTTTCACAGTGCAGGTGAGTCACTATAGAATTAATTGGCCAATCATGGGGTCTTTGTCGCTACCCGGCGCTCCTTAAATTATAATTTAACACACTGACTGTCACCGATGTTAATGCAGTCATGAGCAAATAATAGTGGTATGCTTTTTATTGTTCATGCAAGAGGGAGACAGAGCCATGAAAGCAGCAACGGAGTTAACAAGTGCATTTTGATCTGAGCCTGTCAATAAGGCGCTGGCTGAGCTCAGTGTTTGCATCAGGGCTGTTAAGCATGGCGCTGGAGCCCAGCAGGAGAGAGAGGGGTCAGTTAAGGAAAAGCTCCACGATGCCAAGTATGTAGATTCAGACCTAGTTACTGCAGTGCACCTAACAGCACGCAGCACCTCTGCTCAAAACACGGCCAGGAGATTGTAATACCAGGGACTTCTAGTTCTGAAACAGCTGCTTGCCGGGATTTGTGGTTCCATAGTATTTCTTAGTTTTGTTGATAGGTAATACAGAACACCTTAAGGCACCAACACATTCCTCTTTTAAAGTGTTACTAAACCCCAGATCCTGCAGTCACTATATCTGGTCTCCCCGGACCCTGCATTCACTATATCTGGTCTCCCCGTACCCTGCATTCACTATATCTGGTCTCTCCGGACCCTGCATTCACTATATCTGGTCTCCCCGGACCCTGCATTCACTATATCTGGCTCTCCCCGGACCCTGCATTCACTATATCTGGTCTCCCCGGACCCTGCATTCACTATATCTGGTCTCGCCCCGAACCCTGCATTCACTATATCCGGTCTCTCCGGACCCTGCATTCATTATATCTGGTCTCCCGGACCCTGCATTCACTATATCTGGTCTCCCCAGACCCTGCATTCACTATATGTGGTCTCCCCGGACCCTGCATTCACTATATCTGGTCTCTCCCCAGACCCTGCATTCACTATATGGTCTCCCCGGACCCTGCATTCACTATATCTGGTCTCCCCGGACCCTGCATTCACTATATCTGGTCTCCCCGGACCCTGCATTCACTATATCTGGTCTCCCCGGACCCTGCATTCACTATATCCGGTCTCCCCGGACCCTGCATTCATTATATCCGGTCTCCCGGACCCTGCATTCACTATATCTGCTCTCCCCGGACCCTGCATTCACTATATCTGGTCTCCCCGGACCCTGCATTCACTATATCCGGTCTCCCCGGACCCTGCATTCACTATATCCGGTCTCCCCGGACCCTGCATTCATTATATCTGGTCTCCCCGGACCCTGCATTCACAATATCTGGTCTCCCCGGGACCCTGCATTCACTATATCTGTCTCCCCGGACCCTGCATTCACTATATCCGGTCTCCCCCAGACCCTGCATTCACTATATCCGGTCTCCCCCAGACCCTGCATTCACTATATCTGGTCTCCCACAGTACACACAACATGGAAATGCAATTATTTTAGTAAATATAAACTGCTAAATACCTTTTCTCATCAGCAGTATATAGCAGTCTTGTGACTTCTATCAGTGTCCAGCTGAGCGCTGGTTAAAGCATGTAGGAGGAGTTTTCATTCTCCCCTGATTGTCCTATGAGGATGCATAACCCCTGACCCCTCTATCTGGACAGTGCTGATTGGCCCTGTGTGGATCAAATGCACTCTCCCAAATAAAAAATAAAAATTCTTTAGCAATACACACCAAACTGAGCATGTGCAGCTTGTCCCCAAGGCTCTGTTCTATCAGCAGATGGACTAAGGACAAAAGAAGGGGAGAATCAGCGAAGACAGGATCAAATAGCCGTTCCACACAATGCAGAGGATTAACCCCTTAGGTTCCACAGTGAGTGTAACAAACATGCTTTACTGCATATACAGACTGATTTTACTGCTGTGGGTTTAAGCTCACCACACATGTTACAATTTAGATCTACCAAGCAGCATTTAATATAATAGCCTGCCTGATTGGATATAAATTGATTGGATAGATTAGGTAGGCCCTTGTATTACATAGTTTTTGAAGATCTAACGTTGATTGTACGGAGATTGTACAATCAGATTGTATAGTGTATGGACACGTACCTTTCTGTGCACTCACTCAATAATCTGAATGTTCTGATTGCATCTACAAGGAGTGGAATCTCATGCCCAAAGCAGGGAATAAAAACCAGCCAATCCCCACACAGTACACAGTAAAATACACTCCCTTGGCACATAGTTAACCCTTTGATTGCCCCAGATGTTAACCCCTTCCTGCCCAGTGTCATCAGTACAGTGTCAGTGCTTTTTATTAGCACCAACCACTGTATTAGTGTTAGTGGAGATGTCAGTGGCAGTTAGTCAGTTCTCTCTCTGTGTCAGTGTCAGAATGCCCGTCGTACTATCACAGTCATAAGTCACCGATTTATGTAAAAAAAAATAAAAAAAACAACAGTACCTATACCATGGTTTGTAGATGCTTTTACTTTCAAACAAACCAAATAATATACACTTATTAGGGTTTTTTTTTTTTGTTTTACCAAAAACGTAGCAGAATACATTTTGGCCTAAATTTGAGAGGACTTTTTTTTTCAATTTTTATTTTATTGGATGTGTTTTATAGCAAAAAGTAAAAAATATTGTTGTTTTTTTTTTACATTTTGACCTTTTTTGTTTATAGCAAAAAAAAAAAAACCACCCAGTAGTGATCAAATACCACCAAAAGAACGCTCTATTTGTGTGAAAAAAGTAATATAAATTTGTGTGCAGTGTTGCATGACCACGCAATCGTCAGTTAACGTAGCGCAGCACCATAAAGCAAACAATGGTCTGGTCATGAAGGGGGGTAAGTGAAGTTGAAAAATAGCAGACTAATGCAGGTCATACATGAGGCGAACTCAAATTTTCTTTAGAAATTTTGTGCGTTTTGTAATCCAAAGGTGCCACCATTGATTTTGAAATTCGACCAACCAAGCCTTCAATTTCACCATATGTTGCTACAGAAAAGAATTTTCATGGCTGGGAATATTTCTTTTTTCAAGGTCACAGCTCATGCTCATGCTCATTTTTGATTACATTTCTCGCACGATTCTCCCATCATTGATTAGAAATTTGTTCGTTTTTCAAAACATTTTTAACATGCCCAATCACTCAAATTCGATGGCTGCAGGTAAAGCGGCCCACTAATGGTGCGAAATTTGAAAGAAAATAATTTCAGAATTAGACCCATGTATGCCCTGCATTACTGGCAGGATCACCAGATGAAAATTAGAGGGGAAAAAAGATGTAAAAAAAGAAAACTAATGCAGTCACCACATCCAAGGATTGGTAAGCTGCATTTTCTAACAAATGTTAATACCGTTTTAAGTATTAGGTAGCTCTTTTGCCATTCATTTAGATCTAATGGACACAAGGGTCAGGGTGGGAGGTGAAGGTGGATCATTTTAATATACACTATATTGCCAAAAGTATTGGTCGGCCGGCCTTTCCACGCACATTACTTTAATGGCCTCCCAGTCTTAGTCCGTAGGGTTCAATAGTGAGTTGGCCCCGCCCTTTGCAGCTATAACAGCTTCAACTCTTCTGGGAAGGCCGTCCACAAGGTTTAGGAGGGTGTCTATGGGAAGGTTGGACCATTCTTCCAGAAGCACATTTGTGAGGTCAGGTACTGATGTCAGGGGAGGAGGCCTGGATCGCAGTCTCCACTCTAATTCATCCCAAAGGTGTTCTATGGGGTTGAGGTCAGGACTCTGTGCAGGCCAGTCAAGTTCCTCCACCCCAAACTGGCTCCTCCATGTCTTTATGGACCTTGCTTTGTGCACTGGTGCAGTCATGTTGGAACAGGAAGGGGCCATCCCCAAACTCTTCCCACAAAGTTGGGTGCATGAAATTGTCCAAAATGTCTTGGTATGCTGATGCCTTAAGATTTCCCTTCACTGGAACTAGGGGGCCAAGCCCAAAATCTGAAAGACACCCCCACACTGTAATCCCCCTCCACCAAACTTTACACTTGGCACAATGCAGTCAGGCAAGTACCGTTCTCCTGGCAACCGCCAAACCCAGACACATCCATTGGATTGCCAGACAGAGAAGCGTGATTGGTCACTCCAGAGAACACCTTTTCCCCTGCTCTAGAGTTCAGTGGCGGCGTGCTTTACACCACTGCATCCGACACTTTGTATTGCACTTGGTGATGGAAGGCTTGGATGCAGCTGCTCGGCCATGGAAACCCATTCCATGAAGCTCTCTATGCACTGTTGTTGTGCTAATCTGAAGGCCACACCAAGTTTGGAGGTCTTTAGCTATTGACTCTGCAGACAGTTGGTGACTTCTGCACACTGTGCGCTTCAGCATGCGCTGACCCCGCTCTGTCATGTGACGTGGCCTACCACTTGGTGGCTGAGTGGCTGTTGTTCCCAGTTGCTTCCACTTTGTTATAATCCCACTAACAGATGAGCGTGGAATATTTAGTAGCCAGGAAATGTCACGGATGGACTTATTGCACAGGTGGCCACCTATCACGGGACCACGCTTGGAGTCACTGAGCTCCTGAGAGCGACCCATTCTTTCACAAATGTTTGTAGAAGCAGTCTGCCTGCCTAGGGGCTTGATTTTATACACCTGTGTCCATGGAATTGATTGGAACACCTGAATCCAATGATTTGGAGGGCTGGCCAATACTTTTGGCAATATAGTCCACCTTAAATGTTCCACTGTCTACCAAAGAATGAGGCTTTAGTTTTGTGTGCACTGGCTCTTTATTAGACCAATTACAGTGTGGTTACAGAGAGATTTTTATGGTTTAGTCGATCATTAGATTAGAATTGCATTTATGAGCCTGTAATGTGTGCGCTGTACTCGTAAGTTTGTTCTCAGCTTAAGATTGTAACAAGCATGTTGTAAATTATGTATTTAGTGACAATATGTCAGGTATCTGATCATTTATATTTGATGGTAAAAAAAATAATAATAAAAAATGATATAACACTGATCTAAAATGATGACTGAAAGCTGAAGTTTAATTTGCTTACATTTTCTCTTTCCTGGTACCTCCTTTGCCCCCTCATCAACATGCTAATGATATTTATTAACCACTTAACCACTTCCTGTCCGGACACTTTTACCCTCTTCCTGTCCAGGGCAATTTTCAGCTTTCAGCGCTATCACACTTTGAATGACAATTGCGCGGTCATGCAATACTGTACCCATATGACATTTTTACCATTTTTTTGAGACAGATAAAGCTTTATTTTGGTGGAATTTTTATTTTTTTTGCTATGTAAATGAAAAAGTCCAAAAATTTTGAAAAAAAGTGTTTTTTTAAATAAAATTTTGCAAATAAATAATATTTCATCATAAATCTTGGCCAAAATTTATTCCGTTATTTGTTTATTAAAATATAAAATCCAAATTAGTTTATAACCAAAAACTATCATTATTAAACCTTTTTTTTTTACATTTTTATTTTATTTTTTTTTTTATTATTTTTTTTTTTTTACATACTGTCACCCTAGCAGTACAGTGTCACCATGGGGACACTGTACGACTTGTGGGGGGTGATGAAGATTTTTTTTTTTTTTTTATTATACTGATTGCTTTTACACCCATATAGGATGTAAAAACAATCATTTCTCTTTCTCTCTGTCTGCATTCTTGCACTCATTGAGAAGTACTGAGTGAGCTGTGATTGGTCACAGCTTGTCACATGGTATAAGGCTGTTGTGAATAGCCTTGTACCATGTGACCTCTGTGATCATTCACAGATTTCACACGTAGTAAGCAATGATGTCACAAGTGACATCTTGCTTACTACTTTGCATGTGATCACTGATTGGCCAATCAGTGATCACATGATCGGGACCTCGTACAGAGGTCCCGTCCAACGATCGGTGTTTCACCGTGCCCGGAGGACACAGCGGGCACCGGATCGCGGTGCTGCGCGCTCCCAGGGAGCGCGCACAGCTAGAAAAAGCAGGTGCCGTTTATGAACGGCAACCCGCCCCTGGACTGCCATCATCCTGCCGTTTATAAACAGCAGGCGGACGGCAAGTGGTTAAGGACCACCTGCCTGCAATATTCCG